TGTTGATTGTCTGACGAAGAATATGCTCGGATTTCCTTGTTAAGATCTTACGTTCTGGTTCGTATGATGTGACCCCAGATCCTGAATCTACTTTCGGGAATGTTAAGAAACAGCTGGCGAGGGCCAGAGTGAGTGCTATCCCATCAGGGAAGAAAGTGACTGAGCCCTGGCTGTCTTGATTTGAGTAGTCCCAACATTGGAGTGTTCCTTTTACTGCCCTTAGAGGCTTACTCAGACAAGCGGTGCTGCGCGGTCTGCCGGCTAGCTTTCACGGGTGTGAGATAGTGCATGCGCGACGTGTGTATACGCACCACTCGCCGCCACTTGCCGTCGTTTGACCTCTAGGGGCCCTTTTTTTGTCATTGCGCTAAAACGCATCATGATCACATAGTTCCTCACAACTTATTTGAGAATCGCGTTTTCGCGCGGTCCTTCCTCACAATTTATGCATGGACTGTGCTATCGCGTTGGGCTTCCTCACACGCCGCGCCTGCTCGCTGTGGCCGCCTGGGCCCGCCTTCCCGACCCTCCCGTTAGGTTCTACTTGCCCTTTCTTGTTATGCCACGTGTTTTCTGATCATAGTTTCCTCCTGCTTATCGCTCCCGTGCTCCATCCTTCTCCTTCCCCTTTCCATCCGTCATCTCGTCCGCTGTTTAGTGGCCGCACCCTTTGCACGTGGCAGGTAAGGAAGATATACCCCCAAGGGGTAAGATCGAAGACGAAGTGGGCGGACAATTAGGGTTTGGGATGGACGCGTTGAATGACACGCGAACAGATAAGAGCAAACAGTCTTGATCTGATTGTAGTATAAATCGTAATATTATTAGTAGTAGTAGTAGTAGTAGTAGTAGTAGTAGTAGTAGTAGTAGTAGTAGTAGTAGTAGTAGTAGTAGTAGTAGTAGTAGTAGTAGTAGTAGTAGTAGTAGTAGTAGTAGTAGTAGTAGTAGTAGTAGTAGTAGTAGTAGTAGTAGTAGTAGTCGTAGAAGTAGTAGTAGTAGTAGTAGTAGTAGTAGTAGTAGTAGTAGTAGTAGTAGTAGTAGTAGTAGTAGTAGTAGTAGTAGTAGTATAGTAGTAGTAGTAGTAGTAGTAGTAGTAGTAGTAGTAGTAGTAGTAGTAGTAGTAGTAGTAGTAGTAGTAGTAGTAGTAGTAGTAGTAGTAGTAGTATAGTAGTAGTAGTAGTAGTAGTAGTAGTAGTAGTAGTAGTAGTAGTAGTAGTAGTAGTAGTAGTAGTAGAAGTATCAGTAGCAGTAGCAGTTGTTGTAGTAGTAGTAGTAGTAGTAGTAGTAATATTAGTAGTAGTAGTACTAGCACTAGTACTTGTAGTAGTAGTAGTAGTAGTAGTAGTAGTTTGTAGTAGTA